TGATCTGAAAGCTGTTAGGATTTATTCCTAGGAGCTTTCGTACCGGTTTACACGTGCGTCCGACACGTAGTAGTAGTAGTAGTAGTAGTAGTAGTAGTAGTAGTAGTAGCAGTAGTAGTAGTAGTAGTAGTAGTAGTAGTAGTAGCAGTAGTAGTAGTAGTAGTAGTAGTAGTAGCAGTAGTAGTAGTAGTAGTAGTAGTAGTAGTAGTAGAAATTTGTACATTTTCTGCTGTAATTTTTGGAATACCAACTTTCCTTTGTGGAAATGACTATCCTTTATATCGGATGACATATTGTCACCAACACCACTGCTGCCAGGTATGTCGTGGATAGAGTTTTGGGTGTCCTCGACACCTCATGCCTGTTTGTGGAATATGGTGGTATGGAAAAGTTGCCAAGGCGGCGGCGGCGGTGAGTGATAAGTTACCTCCATGTTGGGGACATATGACTTATGGTCCTCATCCAATAGTGAGGACCCCTCCAATGGCTCGGAGTTGCTCACGGTTAGAGGATATAAGCTGTATTATTAAATCTCCAACAGCGCCGCATGGCGAGTCTAGCAGCAGCAGCAGCAGTAGCAGCAGCAGAGTTGTGAGCACATCGGTCAAGGCTAGCGTTACCCCCAGTGAGGAATAGTGAGGATGTGTTGATGGTATGGTATGAGTATATGGTTTTAGGGTGGACCGCTCAATGCTCCCGATCAATTCAATTATCAATTTAATGAAGGATCGAATGGTAGTAGTATCTTCACGTTGTTTTGAGATGAGGAAAGATTCATTGTTTTAGGCCTCTAGAGAATATGACACCTCGCTGGACATAGTGACACTTACTTGTTGTTGGCTTTCATCAGTACGCGTGCTCTTATCACAAGTACTACATAGGAGGAGGATGATGCTGTTGAGCTCATTGTTGATGATCTCCTTTGTTTAGATCAGTCGAGTGGTGAACTACTACCCTCACCAAACGCTGAGTCGTAGTCGAGTCGCTGCGGAGGGTCATGGTAATGGGTGGGGGGGCGAGGGGGAACTCGTTTTGAATATCCTACGGGAACACATTATTCAATCAGTTTCCCCCCCATGTAAATGTCATCATCACATTAGAAACATTTTACTCATCGTTTTAAACCTGCCTGACGGACGTTATCTCTCAAACGGTGTGTGAATAGGTTCGAGGGTGACGGTATCAGTTCATCAGTCGAGGCATTGTGCTGCATTGCTGTTGGCTGTAATGGGGAAGAAGATGGGGCTCGAGATGGCTTTGGCAACGGCGGTAGTAGGAGGGGTGGGGATAGAACTCGGGACCATGTGCTTGGTAACGGAGTGCTCTACCGGTCGGATAGAGGATGGGAATAATTGGTGATGCCTGTGTATATACCACTCCTTTGTCGTATATTCAGTATCCCGGCTTGGACGACAGTATCACAATGGACCCCAATGGCCGGCATCACAACGAAAGTGTGAGTGTCGGCACCAGGGATCGAACCCGGGCGAGGAGGAGGGGGGTTACTCTTATTGTCAGGTAAAATCCATGTGGAAGATCGTCACCACATGATTCGCTTTCTATGTCTCGACGCCTTCTATAAACTGCAATGGGTTCACCTCCTCATGGGGGTCCTCCTGCTAGCACTAGACATGCTCCAGCGAATTGGAGATGACTCTCAGAGTGAGTGCATACCACACCTTTGGAAGATCGTGTCCAATTTAGAAATGTCTGCCCCGGGGATCGAACCTGCGGTCTATGGGTTTTGAAATGTCTCTCTTTAACTCAGGCACAGAGAGTGGAGCTAGCCCTTGTCCCTCGTCTACTCCTTCCACCGTACTATCGGATGCAGTTGAGCATGTCCTGTGGTGGTTCGAGCGGACGACTAGTGTCAAACGCCTACACAACGACGGAGCTCAGCAGGCCGAGGTAGTCGTTGGGTCCTTATGTGAGGGAGGACGACCAAAAGGAGTTGATGAAACCTCTGTTGGATTTCAGTGAGTTTTGAGGGGTAATTTCGTGGCGCAGTGAAGCAGCTTTGATGGCAGGTACGGTCGGTCTGGTATCTTATTTTCAGTATACATTCGTGTCGTCATTTTTCTCCAAGTGGAGAGGTGATTCGGTGAGAGGAGGCATGGATTTCTTGCAATCTTGCATTTCCTTAACGCCACATTAGGTCATCGAATGTATTCCAGCTCGCCGGCGGCGGCAGCATCCTTATTAAAAGCTCTGAGTCACGTCTTGGTGCCGGATCGAACTATCCTGCGTTCTACCAGCAGGCCCAACTCGCCGGAAGTTCCAGCTAGCCGAGCAGTTGCTGATGATAGCAGTGGAGGTAGACTCCTCGAGGTCCCGGGTTCGAATCCCAGTGCCGGCATTTCGAACTCGTTGAGATTAAATGTACACTCATGTGCTTCAGCGCCGATGTCAACGCCCCACCAGCCGTCAGTCCGCCGACCACCCGTGGTGTTACCACATCTAAGCGAGGTTGGGTCGGCCGAGTCGCCTCCTGCTATGAGTCGTGCTGATCCAACAGAAGAGGGAACGGAGGAGGAGCAGGAAGATGTCCGCCGAGCTGATGAATTCACGTCGGCGGACATGGTGTGGGTGGAAGGCTTATGCGGGTAAGGGGATGTCACGGGTTCGATCCCTGGGTGGTACATTTTCCGTGTAGATAGGTGAGAAGAGGTGATAGCATGCAGTAAGGATGTTGCCAGCGAAGTTATGGCAGGGGCTTGGGCGGCCTTTGATATCCCGAATCAGGGATTGCGGCGGCACACGTCCTGTGTTGTTGTTGCCTTGGTACGCATCATGCCAATGGTGCTGTTGTATTCAACGAGATCATCACCGCGCCACGTTCGCTGATAGGCTGATCGAATTAGTGGGGGCTACCGGGGGCGAAGACGCTCACGAGGAGGGTGAAGGGAGAGGACCTAGGGAGACAGACCATCGCTGCTGGTGTTAAGGTCGGTGTAGCGCACAGCGAAGAATATCTTTATCTATTAGATCGCACCCTTTGCCAAGCCCCTACGTAAAAGAGATGGCTCATCAAGCTCTGTAGCGGAGGAGTTGGGGAATATGTCTGTGGCTGATCGTGATCATCGAGCTAAGATGTCCCCGAGGTGGCTCTCGATGACGGTCCTAGTATGTGTCCGTAAATGGCTGAGTAATAACGGAGGGGTGTGACTATGATTAGCTGCTATTTGATAGAGGGATTCGCCTGCTTGGGCTTCCTGGTTTTAGTGATGAATTATTTTTATGCAACTCGTACAGCTGTAATTATTACTGGTATCGCTTCTATTATAGGGGAAATGTTTTTAGACATTCTCGAAATTATAACCGCCAAGGAAGGAGCAGAAAATAACACATTTCTGATGAAGTCGATGAAACCCATTTGGAAATGAGGGGATGAAATTTCTTGCTGAGAAAGTTACCGTTTTCACTATTTTTCTGAGGGACTTTTGGATACTAGAGCGGCACGCCTGATTTTCATCCTGTCGGGCTCGAGAAAATGAAATTTTGACAATGGAGTTTCACCACCCTAGTGATATGGAAAACACTAGTGAAAAACATATTTCACGACTATTGCTAGGCGAGTTTTACGCCACTTCATGTGAAGCGGGTCGTGAAAGTCCAAAATTTCCAGAAAATTGCATGAATTTGTTTTTCTATTAGGTTGTCTCCTTGTTAGCATGCCTAATGGTCGTCGTCGGAACGATGCTATCGTTGACTAAGGCTACAGTGATGGAAAGGACACCTTTGATGGACCCTATGCAGAGCCAGGCTTTTCTCATGTGCTTGTCGGAGACCACTAGATACTACGAGTGTGGAGGTAGTCCTTAGTACTGGAGGCCGGCGGCTGTGGACGCTGCTGACCTCACCTCAAATTTCAAGGTGAGAAGTGATGGAAAAAATTATTTGCTAGAAAAATATCGAGCCTGGGATTCGAACCTCCGCGAATAGGGAACGCATATCAAGAGGAAGTTTGGTGGTTTATAGGCCACTTCATAGAGTAACGTTTTTGTGCGGGTAATTTTCTCCTTTAATTACCCTGGCATGCTCGCCCATCTTAAAACGGTGATGTTCAATCTTTGTCGGGATGATGATTATATAGTGATGGTGAGGTTTTTGAATATATGGTGAGGAACACATTCTTCAATCAGTTTCCCCCCCCATGTAAATGTCATCATCACATTAGGAACATTTTACTCATCGTTTTAAACTGGCCGGTGGACTTTGACACGCTTCTTATGGGGGCTCCTGTGGCCTCAGAGGCATCATCATCATCGCATCGGTGAGTGAATTGAAGAGCTTGCATAGTGTGGGAAAATATCTGTGTTGGTGATAATATGAAAACTGTGAGGAAATCTTGATGGTTTTTGTTGATGGTTTTCTACTCAAATTCGACTCGACTCGAGTTTCGCCTTCTACGTGGAGTTCATTTACAGATGTCTGTGATATGCAAGGTGATATGCGATAGTGGAGGAATGAAATCGGTGATGAAGGGCGGTGGTAAGCAGATGAGGATATTGATGCTATATGAGGATGATGAGGATATGACTACTGCCTCAACCAGTGGTCCTGTGACTAGCACTACTACTGCTTCAACTAGTGGTTCTGTGACTAGCACTACTGTTGCCTCAGCTAGTGGTCCTGTGACTAGCACTACTACTGTCTCAACTAGTGATCCTGCCACTAGCACTACTACTGCCTCAACTAGTGGTCCTGTGACTAGCACTATTACTGTCTCAACTAGTGATCCTGCCACTAGCACTACTGTTGCCTCAACTAGTGGTCCTGTGACTAGCACTACTACTGTCTCAACTAGTGGTCCTGTCACTAGCACTACTACTGCCTCAACTAGTGGTACTTTTCTTCTCTAGTTACCCTGGCATGCTCGCTCATCTCAAAACGGTGATGCTGAATATTTGTCGGGATGATGATTATATAGTGATGGTGAGGTTGCGCACAGCGAAGATTTGAAAGATATGCTGTTATTGTTGCTGTTGTTGTTATGGTCAGGCGGAGGCTAAGCCTATCGTGTTGTGGTATCTGGTCACCCATAATGATCATGTTCGGGCAAGTGATGGGATACCATGGGTGAAGGCGTGTAGTAGTGTAGTTGTGTAGTAGTAGTTGTGTAGTAGTTGTGTAGTAGTTGTGTAGTAGTAGTTGTGTAGTAGTAGTTGTGTAGTAGTTGTGTAGTAGTTGTGTAGTAGTTGTGTAGTAGTAGTTGTGTAGTAGTAGTTGTGTAGTAGTAGTTGTGTAGTAGTTGTGTAGTAGTAGTTGTGTAGTAGTAGTTGTGTAGTAGTTGTGTAGTAGTTGTGTAGTAGTTGTGTAGTAGTAGTTGTGTAGTAGTAGTTGTGTAGTAGTAGTTGTGTAGTAGTAGTTGTGTAGTAGTAGTTGTGTAGTAGTAGTTGTGTAGTAGTAATTGTGTAGTAGTAGTTGTGTAGTAGTAGTTGTGTAGTAGTTGCTTAATTGTTTAATTGTGTAGTTGTAGTTTTTCCACTAGTTATTTTCCTACTTTTATCGCCCGAATTTCTGTATCATGTTGTGTTCCTTAGTTGTGTACCGAGTTATGAATGCGAGAGCCCCAGGAGGTGTTCACGAGGAGGTTAGTGTTGTCGGGTGCCGGGATCGAACCCGGGTGGTAGTTTGCTGACTCTCAACTCAGGAGGCACTCGGCACCCACAAGAGACGTCCATAGTAAGGTTGATTAATGCCATTGAAAAGGACCGCAACGTGATGACCGCTGGATGATGATGATGATGATGATGATGCGGTTGCGGTGAGCTTACTTTAGACAAGGCCTTAGGACCGATGAATGTATTATATAACTGGTAATAGGACGACACGGTGTGCTTCGATCGAACTTAAAAACACATCGTAAAACAATACCGAAATAAGCGCCCAATGCCTGCGGTCATAAAACATGTATGTTAATTGTTTTGGTGTATATATATCCGTGCTTGGCCGCCGCCGCCGCCGCCGCCTACTTTGGAGCGACTGCTGAGTTAACGACCATATTTCTCCTATACAGGCTACTATTTACCTGCTGAAAGGCAGAGTGCAGCGGTGGGTATATGATGATAGGCTCAATTTTTAATCGCATCAGTGAGAAATCGTAGGCCGTGCGAATGACATATTATTACGCGCTCTCAGTTCTTACTGTGGTTGAATGTCAATTCGGCGTAGTGGTATTGGAGTAAGAATTTATGTTCGCTTTACTCAGCTGAGCTCAGGAGTTTCCAAAGCTAAATATAGGAGCCTATATACGAATTAGGGTAGAGGAGTTGATAATCATTTCTCACAATTTCCTCAGGATTTTCGAGTCAATAGGAAACAATTGTCAGTGATAGATATACGAACAGGTAGTCTTGTCAGCCGGTCTTCTTATCACGTGGAATTTGCCTATGCAGTTCTTCATTGAGCGCGGACGCCAGGATTACGTACAATGGTGATATCATGTGTTGGAGTAGGAATATATGTTCGCTTTACTCAGCTGAGTTCGGGAGTTTTGTTGTTAATTATACAAGCTTACATATGAATTCGAGTAGAAGTGTATAGAAACCAACAAGATTTCCCCGATTTTTTTCCACAACACATGTAGTTCAATGTAATAGGAAATATATGCGCGAATATACGGTCATTCGATCATCACCAAGGTCGCGGAGATTGTCTCAGGTCTTCTGGACGTTGCGTCGGCTCTAGAGTGCCTTCACCATGCTTGTCACCTTGGTCTGTGCCCCAGTGCGGTAAGTGATATTAATAATATGATTGGTTTACTTGATGTGAGTGTAATAAGTCAGATCTTCATCACTCCAAATGATCGATGGGTGTTGGGTGGAATGGCGTATTGTCAATCTCCAGTAGAGCCGGGCAAGATGGTGCCGTGCCAAGTGAAGTTTAGAGGCGTAGGAGGGATGGCTGGCGGGAGGGTATTAAACGAGCCTCCTATAAGGTACACCCGGGTTCGATCCCTGGGAGGTGCATTTTTATTCACAGGTATGCGGCTCCTGAGATGACCACCGGCTACAGCAGTGCAGTGACGTGTTTAGTTTCGGCCTAGTCATAGCGTAAGTCCATACCACGCTGATTCGAATCCAGATTGTGTGCGAATTTTTTTTCTGTTTTTTTTGTTGTTTTTTCGTTGCTTGTCTCTAGGAGAGAGCATGAACGCTCCAAGCTTATCGTTAGTTGTCCTTTACTCTATCTCTCTCACGCCTGCTCACTAGCACGTGCATAAAAACATACCCTTTAATGACTGTTTTTCTCTTATTTATATGCACACTATCGGGGTAATATTTTTCTCAGGTACGAGCTCTTCTCTCGGGATCGTCAACCTCTGCTGTCGCGAGTCACTCCCGAGGCTGATCCTACTGGGGATTACCAAAGGGAAACTCAGTAAGGCTCATGTCACATGGGTCTACTATGCAGCTTTTGAGTGGACTTTCTAGGAGAGCACTACCGCTGAAGTCTGGAGATAATCAAATGGACAATGCACTGCTTTTCACTGTAGTGTACTGGGATGGGTGGCGGGTGGTGGTTTTCGATTGAATTAGATGATTGGTGAGGAATTTCAGGAAAATTATTGTTGTTTCTTAAGTTCGAGTGGACGTATACAGAAACTTTATGTATACTCCTACTAATCAAATTTATATGCGAACTTGTGTATAAAGTGAAGAAACTCCCGAGCTCGGGTGAGGAAAGCGAGCATATATTCTAATACTGTGAATATGTACCCTACTCGAATTTGATGATCTCCTAGTCTGTGTGTGTTAGTTAGTGTACGATGTTGGAAGGGGCATCCCGGGGAACTCGGAGTATTTCAATGATATTAAGGTGATGACTTGGAGGAGGGGCGATGGCGAGCAGTGAGTGTGGATGAGTAGTTCTTGGTGTTGTTGTTGTTATTGCACGAGTTTGTTTTTATACGGTCAAATATGCACATGTGTATCGGTGACAATATTAAAATTCTGAGAAAATTTTGGAAGTTTATTGTTGGTTTCTGTTCATTTTTGTTTTGACTCGTATGTTAACTACTGTAGTGGAGAAGCTCCTGAACTTAGTAGTTAAGGCAAGCGAACGTATATTTCAGAACTGATGGATCATCAGGCCTTTGTAGTGGTGGTGGATTTGTCGCGAATTTGTGAATCTATTGCAAGCCCTGAGGTTCCTAGAGACACTTTCGGAGAAGGACGATGCGCCTCGGATAGCATTTCTGAGAAGTAAAGATGTGATAGGAGAACTACAGCACTTTGAAGTCAATTACATTTTTCCCCAATTTTTTGATAATTTTCCGGACTTTTCTGTAAAAATGCACTTTTTTAATGTTTCTCCGATTGGTTTTAATGAATGGTTTTCTGAATGAATTATTAATGAAAATTAATGAATGAGTTTGAATGGTTCTCTTAAAACCGCAGCAAAACGAAGACGACATTGACCACCTGGAAATGTCGCGGTGGTGCTGCTGGTTTATCGTAATCACCTCGAGGTGTTTAGTTGAGCTGGATGAGTATGTTAGGTAGTTGTGGCCTTTCAGGACTCCCTCGTCTCTTGAGCGACAGAACGTGTCCACTTGTTGCTAGTCCACAGCTACCAGAGGGAACGGATACTACCTCCACTAGCAGATGTGAGCAGGATCTTTTGTGCATGCGTGCAACAACAGCAGCAGCAGGAGTAGTTGTTATATGATAATTCTCAGCTCGCGGACCTATCCTTCTCTGCATTGTGGTCGGTGACATTACCGTGTTTGTTGATGGCATTGAAATATGAAGTTTGCGACCCGCAGTATGGCGAATAAAGCCAGTGTTCAGCGCCAAGGAAATATCAGTTGGTGAGATTAGGAAAAAGGAATTATTGAATGTTATTATGGTGCGTGTGAATTTGATATGCAAAGGCTATTACTTTTATACTAATATAAATAATTACTATTATTATTATTTAATTACTATTTATATTTACGAAATATGCGTAGACTCTCATAAACGATGTTGACATTAGAGTTTCACCACCCTAGTGATATGAAAAACAAATTTCCCGACTACTGCATATCACCGCGACTATCGCATTTTTCACCGAGTTTTACGACGCCACTTCACGTAAAACGGGTAGTCATGAAACTCCATTGTTGAACATGTGATGTGATAAAAGTAACCTTTCGAGGTCGACGTCATTGCGACATGTTGTTCATTATCATCAATTCCTGACACGCAGTCGCATATCAAATTGGCGCGTATCGTTAGGGTTCTGATAACTCTGCTGCTGCTGCTGCTGTTGCTGTCGTATTAGCATTGTCATTTCAGAATGTGTAACGATTCTAATTTTCATCTGTTTATCAAGAACATAACGGCAAATGACGCCAGTGAGGTTTTAGCACCCCTTGTGTAGAGGTGTATCGAGTTGAAGGAGGACACAATCATTCACGTGCTTGGCTTTGCCCGAACTGGTGAACAGTGATGATATTATTGCATTACAATGGAGTTTCATCCGTTCAACGTGAAGTGGAGTGATACTCTATGTGAATTATAGGACGATTAGGGTGAAACTTAAATATCATCACTAGTCGTTTGATATAACCTTCATTGGAGTTTCAGTCGTTTCACGTGAAGTGGCGTAAAACTCCGTGAAAAGGCGATATTTGCGGAATGTGTTTTCACTGGTGTTTTTCATATCACTAGGGTGGAACTCCATCATTAAGAAATACTATATAAGTATCGTATTCTCCCATGGCTTCGGGGTGTGCATTACTCGCTTGGTATTACGTATGAACAACGTACGTCATGAATATGTCGCCGTATATGTTAAAACATGTTTTATGTTTCACGATTACTGCATATAGCGAATATTTCTAGCGGGCACTATTCTTTTCTATATAGGTAATTTTCACCAAGTATTGTGCCACTTCACGTGAAACTTTTTTTTGCAAAAAAAATCTTGATTTGACTTTTTTGAGATGCACGAAGAAGCAGAGGCTGAGCGCTCATTTCCCAGTTACTCCTGAGTTCGCAGTTATATTCCTATGCTGGCCATTCCTTGATTGGAGTATAAAAATATATCATTATGTATACTTATAAACCATTTTAGGTGTTTACTCGTTTGCCTCTACTACAACGACGATTCGAGTATACTACTCTGCAACACGTCTTGTTGCCGAGAATGTTGAGGATGCTAACTGACGCTAACGAGGGTGTCCCCACTAGGATTCGGTGTTTGATCATAAAATGCATTCAAGAAATGCTCCCGGTGAGATTACTATTTTCTCTCTGTGTGAAAATATATGCACATAAAAAATGTGAGAAATATGAAAAATATGAGAAATTATAGTTAGTTCTCTTGTACACTTCGTGTGTGGGCTTAATGTAGTGAGTGAATTAACAAGCTCAGTTGAGGAAACCGAACCTATATTCTCTGGGAAAATATGCACATGGTCAATTACATATATTGGTGACAATGTGAAAATTATGAGGGAATTTTGGGAAATTATTGTTGATTCTTGTGCATTTTTACCCGGATTCATATGTGAATTTTGTATAATTAGTGAGGGTATTCTCAAGGAAGGCGAACATATATTCCAACACTGCACTGAGGAGGGACGATTTTCCCTTCAGGTTCAGGCGCTGTTGTTGGTGCTCTGTTGAAGGCCCCTACTGAGACTACTGGCACAGATGGTCCCGCGCAAGTAAGTTTTGTAGTGTGTGAGAATATACAACTACATGTGCTGGTGATAATATAAGAATTTCCGAATTTGTATGTAATGAGGAAATAAT